CCAAGGCAGAAGGACTGCTTGAGACCAGGAGCTCAAAACCAGCCTGGGCAATATAACGAGACCCTGTCTCTATGAAGAAGATTTTTTTTTAACTAGCCAGGTGTAGTGGCGCATACCTGTAGTGCCTGCTACTCAGGAGGCTGAGGCGGAAGGATCACTTGAGCCCAGGAGTAGACTGTGCCACTTCACTCCAGCCTGGGTGACAGAGGGCAAACCTGTCTCTTAAAAATTAAAAAATTTAAAAACACTCTCTTGAAAATAAATATTTTCCTCTCCCTGAGTTTTATATTGAGAATGGTGATTGCCTCAGAAAAATAAAAACATAGTTTCTAATGGCGGGCTGTTTAAATAATAAATACATTTCCTCCATGTCATTCTTCACTATTAAAAGAAAAGGGGTTTAATAATAAGCAACATACAGTCTTTCGATACCGTGCAGTAGTCAAAGAAAAACAAAAGCCAGAGACCAAGGCTGCAGTTACTTCTTGTAACATTTCCTTGGTTATACTGACCCCTGGTGGTCCTAAAAGGGCTCTTTTTTAAAGGGATTTATTTATTTTTTCATTGAAATTAACATATCTCCAATGATGAATACCTAATCAATATACTTGTCTTCAAAAAAATAAAGATGCTTTATAGAATATAGAAAAGTGAAAATTTTATTTGGTTCAAAACAAATGACTGTTATATACCTTTCACACATTCGCTTAAGCAAATACTGCTTTCTACTTACATGAAAAAGCGCTGAACTTGGTCCCAGGAATAGAGGGTTGAGCAAGACTAGAAGGTCAGGAGCTTTACAAAGGCTACCGTCTATCAGGGACCACCAATTGAAAGTAACATGAATGAACTAAGGGAAGCACACTGTACTATGGGAATGTCTGGAACAACCAGGCCATTCTAGAGAATGCCTGCAAGTAGCGAGAATAAGGAAGAAAAAACATTCCCAGCAGAGGGAACAGCATGAGAAAAGGCTCCAGAATGAGACAGACAGGTGAGTTTAAGAAACATAAGGGACGTAAGATGTCTAAAGCATAGAGTTCAAGAGGAAGGGCGGCACTTTACAAGGCTGAAAAGGTGGGCAAGGGCCAGATCTTGCAAGTGTTTTTAATTTTTTAATGACCTAAATTTCCTTAAGAGCATTATTGTTTTCTATAAAAGCAACATGACAAGCCAAGTCCACAACATGAGAAATCCTATAAATCTTTCAAAGTATAACCTCACGTCTTCTGCAAAGTCTTTCTCTATTATTCTATCCCCCTCTCGTCTGGTACTTATTCTGTCCACCATTCATCAAACAAATTAATCCCTCAGCGCCTGTCATCCAGCTAAAACTGCTCTTGCTTGGTCACTGTGCAGAGGTGGTTTCTGAGTGGACCAACAATGGACACCCTGACCCAAGGGCAGCCCACCCCTAGGCTGCCAGCCACCTGTGCAGAGGCCTGCTTTAAAGACACTGGGCATGATTATTTAGCTAAGCCAACAGAATGAGAAGAACTGAACGACTCCTCAAAGGTTGGGAGAAGAGTGAAAGGAGAACAGAGCAGACCATGAGAGACAGAGGGAGCTGCTGGCCCCAAAACATCGGTGCTTGTGCTAACAATAAACCCTCTTTATCACAACCCGGCCTAAGCACCTTACAATTCCTCTGCTATTGCACTGTCTTGGGTTTGTCTGTCTCCCTTATGTCATTTAATTTTTATCATATTATTCATGTCACCACAACAATGACCTTTGAAAACAGAAGTCATGTGTTTAGCTTCTTTGTATTCATCACGGCCATGTAAGTCCTTAATACACACTGGGTTGGTGGGTAGATGGAAGGATGGATGAATGGATGGATGGATGAACAGATGGACAGATGGATGGATTAAAAAAAAGATTCTGGAAAATGTAAGTGGGAACTGAAAATAATATTCAAATTAAACTCATAATGTGCTTCCTAGTCGGCATCTCCCATCATTCTCCACATACTCCAGTAATATCAACTTCTCCAAAATCCCCAAACACATAAGGTTCCCTTCTACTTTCCCTGCTCCTACACAAATTTTTCACAAATGCCTACTCTTTTCACTTTCTCTATAAGCTCAAACATAAAGAATTCTACTTCCCCTAGAAATCATCACCCACTGCTCTAGGCTTCCATTTATAACAGTGGTTATTATTACACTGTTATAAATAAGGAAATAAGCAAAGACCACACTGTAAATTGGGCATGATTTTAACGGTTATGCGATACATTGTTCTCTAAAAGTATGAACCCCTTGCATATTACCATCAGTGTTCTTTAAAACCACATCACACATTTGGTAGAGCTCCTGCTAAATTAAAAAGAATAAGATTGGTAAACATATCATACAAACACCCATAAAGACTCAGGATGGCCATGAAGCAAATGTTGAGAGTCGATTGTACCTCCAGCACTGTTCTCATTCAGACAGGTCAATTCACACACAAGTCCTACCTACTCAAGGCTCAGCAATAATGCTTAAAGTAAGCTACAATTTCATGTATTTCATTTAACACATCTTCCCCTTTAGACACAGGAAAAAAATTGATTATATCTCACGTTTATATGTCACATAAATATATATTATAGAAAAATATAAAGGTTTACATATTATATACTAAATGACCAATTCATATCACATAAAATAGTTAAGTCTCATTACTTTTTAAAACTTTTATGTCTCACTGTGGTAAAATACATATGACATAGGACTAACTATATTCACTATTTTACCTGCACTATTTATTAGTGTTAAGTATATTCATGTTGTTGTGCAACAGATCTCCAGAACTTTTTCATCTTGCAAAACTGAAACTCTGCAACTCCCCATTTTCCCTCCCATCAGTCCCTACAACCAGCATTCTTCTTTCTGTTTCCACAATTTTGACTGTTCTAAATCTCTCATGTAAGTGGAATCACAAAGTATTTGTCTTTTTGTAACTGGCTATTTCATGCAGGATAATGTCCTCAAGTTTTATCCAAGTTGGAGCATTGTCACAATATCCTTCCTTTTTAATGCTGAAGTTCCCATTACCTTTTTTTTTTTTTTTTTTTTTTTTGAGATGGAGTCTTGCTCTGCCACCCAGGCTGGAGTGCAGTGATGTGATCTCAGCTCACTGCAACCTCCACCTCCCAGGTTCAAGTGATTCTTCTGCCTCAACTTCCTGAGTAACTGGGATTACAGGTGCTCACCACCACGTGCAGCTAATTTCTGTATTTTTAGTAGAGACGGGTTTCATCACATTGGCCAGGCTGGTCTCAAACTCCTGACCACAGATGATCCGCCTGCCTCAGTCTCTCAAAGTGCTAGGATTACAGGTCTGAGCCACCATGCCTCCCATTATTTTTAAACAGAGCAAAAGTAAGAACATAACTCCAAAAAAGACATCAAAAAAGAAAATTTTAAAAAGACATCCAAAAAAGAAAATTAAACGTTTTAATATTTCAAAATCTAAGCCAAGTTCTTTCCTCTGGGTTGCTTCTTTCTGAATGCCCTAGAAATAGAATCACAGTTCTAAGATGTGAAATATCCATATATTTCCATTTGTCTATTGAAGCTCCTCTTATCCATAGCACATGTTTGTCTGAATGAAGGTAATCTATTTAGATTGAAGCATCTAGAATTGCTAATATTTGGTACTTCCGACCCACAAAAATGGCAATTTCAAATGTCTAACCTGATAATTTATCATTTTTCTTTTAAACTGATCTAAGAAACACTGCTTTGAAATTAAATAAGGATTTACTGTGTCTTCTATCTTCTAACCAGGGCCCAGATTCAAAGTATTTCTATCATGATGCTGGGGTCCTGGGGTCAGAGGGTCATGGGGTCAGCTAGGGAGGCTGGGCTTTGCCATCAGAGACCTGAATTTAAATCTTGCTTCTTTTGATTCCCAGCTCCAACTTCTTGGCAAGTTGCTAAACTTCTCCACATTTCATTTTCCTCATCTAGAAATGAAGTTTAATAAAACTTTTTTTTCAGGACTGTTGTGGCAATGCAAGTAAAAAGCAGGGCACATATTAAATACTGGGTACTTTTATCTTGCCTTGGGTCTTAGGCTAATGAATGATTATTCCTTCAGCTACAATGGTTCTCAGCTGAGCAGGGGGAGGATATTTCCTCCCAGGGATGTTTGGCAATACCTAGAGAAATGTTTGCTTGTCACAGCTTATAGGGAGAGGAGAGCTACTACTGGCGTCTATTGGGCAGAGGCCAGAGATGCTGTTAAATGACCTATAATGCATAGCACAGAGCCCACAACAAAGAATTTTCCTCCAAAATGTCAATAGTGAGATACCCTTTTCTAAAATAACTATTTTTAAAGCTCTGATTCATGAATTTATATTTTTTTAATTCCAAAGAAAAGCATTCAATGAATTTTCAAGTATTACACAGTGACACATAGGAGAAAACGTAAGGCACAAAGAAATGGAGGGCATTTTAATGAATGCCCTCCATTTACATTTATACACCATTTAATGCCCTCCATTTAGATTTCAGAGCTATACAAGTTGGCAGCAAGTAAAGGCAATAGGTGTAGAAATTAGAGAGAAATGGGGAACAGAGGTTGGTGTGGCTATTTAAGTCACGGTTTCTTAAAACAAAGATAAAGTAGGTTAGTTTAATCACTCATTAGGAGTCATTATTCTAAGATTTAAAAATTTGCCAAATAATAGCTATGTATTTATTACTTAATTTTAAAACAATGCATGAAACAAATCAGTAAACATTGTGTACTAAAATGACAAAAGTTTTAACTTTTACACATTATATCACAGAAAAGGACAAAAGGGATGGAAATTCTAGTATGTTAGAATGAAGGCTAAATAAACCCTTGTAAACATCATAAATTAAAAATAAACCACTTCAATGCCTAGATGTTCACATTAATTTTTTTCTCTTCATTGAATAAATGACTTTAGAGCTATTCCCCCACGTGACCTAATTAAATCACTTTAACAGTCCCCCAAAAGATACATTTATACTCACATTCACTTGAACTTGAATAGACCAGTCCCCAAGTATTGGATGGGAAGATAGCTGAAACGTTTTGGAAACGACGCCAAGATCACTTTGTTGTGACAACCACTGTTGGATCAAGTTTGATTTGGGGTCCTAAAATGAAAAGCAGACATGTAACTCTGCAGAGGCTGGCCGTGTGCGTGTGCATCCTCTGTGGTTGGGAAAGATGCACTGCGGTGTTCCCACCCAGACCCAGGGCTTTCCTCCAAAACATGGTACAAGGATAGCTGTCAGAAAATGTAGGCACTATATTACTGAAGAAGACAAATCAAAGTTTCTTCTCTTCTCATATTCCTTCCAAGTTCACCTTGATTCTGCTCCACCTTTTAAATTCCTGGCACCCTACTTCCTTCTACATGAAACACTACATGTACATCACCAAACCCCCGGCGGCAGCACGGTGCTGGAAGTGTCAAAAGAAAATTTAACTGTAGAAATAACAGGCCCCATTTATTAAAGACCCAATACGTGTCAGGCACTCTGCCTTATCTCTAATCATTATAATTCTCCTTTAGAACAAGGTTATCTTCACTTTATAGTTGAGAAAACTGATGCTGGAGAGGGAGGTACGCATTCAAGTGACTGGCGTGACTCAATATTATGGCACCAACGCATGATGAAATACAGAATTCAAACTCATGTCAGCCTTTTATTTATTTATTTATTTTTTTTTTTTTTAAAGACGGGGTTTCACCATGTTGGTCAGGCTGGTCTTGAACTCCCAACCTCAGATGATTCGCCTGCCTCGGCCTCCCAGAGTGCTAGGATTACAGGTGTGAGCCACTGCACCTGGCCTTTTAACTCAACAAAAGCATATCAGAGAGATGTTTAACCAAAGATATATATGAAAAACACTTCAGCCTTCCTGTAACCTCCCAAACAACAATCCCTTCATGCAGACTTCATCCAAACCATTCCAGCAGTCATCCTAGATTCCTCTCACATTTCCAGCCCTGCTGACTCTGTGAGGTTAATATATCTCTAATTTGTCTCCTTCTTTCCATCCTCAATCTAGCCACCATGTCCTATTTTCTAACTAATGCAACTGATCTTCCCCCTCTAGACCTGCCCTCTCCACCACATTCTCCCCACTGCCAGCAGTGTGACACATCTGAAACACAAATCTGAGAATGAGTTACAGTGATTTAAATACTTGGCATAGTCCCTGGATATAAAAAGCAGTGACTATACATTTTTATAGTCACTGATTATTGTATATGATGATTATACTAGACCACTAGGTATGCATGGCTTTCATTTGCCTACTCCTTTGCATAGTTTACAAGTCCTTTACTAATATGACTCCATCTACATTTCTAGGCTCATCTTCCTCTAAACATTACAGATTTGTTTACAGTTTATTCCCAAAAGCCCATGCATCTAGGTCTCTGCAGCTGCTGCATGGAAATCCCTCCCTTCCTCGTCCACTGGTGAAATCAGTTCCAGCTTCTTGCCTCCTATACATGCCTCCAGTAGGCAGAGGTGACTGCTTCCTGGAAAGCCCCTGGTATACCAAGAGTTTATCTCTCTTGAGTATATATTATTATTAAAGGCAGAAAAATATATTTATTTTACATATTTTATTTTGCAAAAAATCTATATTTTATTATCCTAACTAGATTGTGACTGAGAATGGGTTGAATATTTTCCCTTAGTCGTATTCTCTAAACTTTGACTGGAAGTAGTGAGTGGAGCCAGTTATTAGAAACCAGAAGAAACCTGTTTCCCAGAGCAGGGATATGACCATTAGGGATAAGCACAATGCTGAGAACTGTGCAGGAAGCAGTCTCATAAGCCAGAAACCAATTGTTAAAACCAGAGACCGAAAACAAGTCAATAACAAGCAGGTCACAGTATCCCTGGCAAACTCCTGGGCCAGGCATTGTCATCAGCAGTTGGCCCTACTGTGCCCGCCACAGCATGATGCATGAGAGGGCTATAAAGTTCAAAGACTCAGGAACAAAGGAAGACATACAAATAGCCAATAAATATATGCTGTCTAATAATTAAGGAAATGAAAACAATGTAATATTGTGTTTCTTCTGTCAAAGTGACACAGATAAAAATAATAATAACAATAATTTTTGGTGTAACCTGAAGTGTAGGAAAACAGAATGTCCATATTCTACTGAAATATTATGGTAATGAGGGTGTACATTTCTCCCAAACATGAAGGAAGTCTGAACTGACCTCACTGATGACTGCACCTGGGGGATCTAGAGGGTTGGGGGTGAGTAAGATAATTCATCTGCTTTCCCAAGCCTGTCTTGGACTTAGGTCTATTGTCACCAATACGGCAGAGGGAGAGAATGCAGAAACACCAGAAGTCTACAAGGCACATCAGGATTTGAACCAGGCAAGCATGGTGGTGTCACAGCAGAGCCCAGCATTTGCATGCAGTCATCTCCTGCTATGACACAGTCACGTACAGTATGATCAATGCCCCAGTCACAGCCAGAAAAGCTGCAGCCAGAGATCCTGGAATAGTGGCCCCACATGCCCTTTAAGTCACCTTTAGATGGCTCTGGAACTCTGTCAGATGCCTCAACACAGCACACAATACCTGGCTGTCTCAAGTAGTAAGCTCCCTGGCTGGAGAATGTGTCTGTGAGGACTATTTCCGGATTATGTGTGAAGGAAATGTCTGTCCAGCATGTAGAATTAGAGAATTCAAATCACTTAAATAAGGTGGCCTCCTTACCTGGCCAACACTGCTTCAAACAGAGTGTCAAGGCACGGTCACATGATATAACCCCAAGCCAATAACACCTGTTTCCCTACAAGATCACTGACCCGTACTAGCACCAACAACTTCTTAAAGGAGAGGTCAGAGTAGAAGCCAGCCATGCCAGCTCCCATCACAGTGTCAGAGGCACTCGCTTCCATAGCGTCAGGCCAAATTGGCTAGAGGAGGCCAGAAGCGTGGGAGACACAGGTTATGTTTTTTCTACTGCCAAAAGGCCTCAAAGCCCCTTTCCCTCCTGAGAAGACCAGTTATTGGAGCATGCAAGATGAATAATACCCAAAGATGCCCCGTGGTCCCCAAGAACAACACTGAACACCCCTAAACGTGCTGTTACAGTCAGTATCTTAGCTACATCCTACAGCCATTCCTGGCTGGGCAAGATGGGCCCCGTTAACTTACAGGTGCACTTCTTCACATCAGCCTACAGGTGGTGCTGCACCAAGGAGTACAGCTGTCTCAAGGGCTCTAGTTAGGCTAAGTCCCAAATTTTTTGAAAAGTTTGGCCAAGAAACAAATTATTCTACACTGAAAGATGTAGAAAATATCATAGTCTAGTAAACCTGGCCCAAATGTCTGTTGTCAGCTGAAAGAATACCCACCTGGCCTCTGCAAGTTGCAAGGAGGAAGGCAGCTAGAACTGAGTCCACATTTGAGCATCACCTCCTAGGTACAGAGATGACAGCACGGCCACCTCTCACTCACAGTTCCCAAACACTTTGGGTTCCAGGTAGTATTTTAGTTTAAACTCCCCTCCCCTGGCCAAAAGGGTCATATCAGTACCAGAGCTAACAAGAAGAAAGTCCCTCTGAGCCCTTTCCAGAAAGTCAAATGTGGTCAGCTAAGTCTCAAACTGCACAGAAAAGCCCAAAGAATCTGCAAATGGAAGGTTCAAAGGAAGATACTAGAGCAGAGCAGAGAGGCAGAAATACGAAAACGCAGACTCATTATCCAGAACCAGTAGGGTTAGTTCTGGGTTAATGTCTTGAACAGGCAATTTATCTGCCTTCTATTGCAGGCAGATAAAAGTTAGCACTGCATAAACTGTTACATTGAATGTAAACAGCCACAGATAGCCAGATATTTATTAAACCATCTATTGTACACAGCTTCTGGCATACAGTAAGCTCTCCATATATGTGGATAAATGATGAAGGATGGTATGAATGGAGTCAGTTCAACTCTGCTCAGAGAGTGACACGAATTTAGAAATGCTATTTACTTTGTCAACCTGCTTTATAGACATTCCGTTACATAGCAAAGGCAAACTCTGAAATAATGCTAGTTCAATTCAAGAAATGTGCATCAAGCACCATGCTAACCAATGTGATACTGGCTACAAACATATCTTGGCTCGAAGTTAAATGTATACATGTTTAATTGGTTGGGTTCTGTTGTTTAAATTTATAACAACAAACAAACAAAGAGTAGGAAGATACTGAACTAAAAAGCCTGACTTTACCTCCACACTATAGTATTCATTAGAATATTTGGAGTAACCAACATCCTGAGACTAAAGAGGTTCCCAGGACCAGGAACTTTTCAGTTTTAAAATCAGGGACATACCAGGAAAACTGGGATGAGTTAGTCACCCTATTTCCAAGTAATGGTCAAATGTCCAGTGCTCTTCCCAGTTGAAATATAGAAAACCAGGCCCAGCTGGATCTCTTTTGTCTTCAACCTGATTCTCACAGGAGAGCACTCTGTGTGCTAAACACAGTGCCACCAGATCATCAGAGTATTAAGCAGCAAAGACCAAATGACTACCTTTCAAAAGGGATTCCTATAATAATAGTAATGGCTAACTTTTAATGAGCATGTACTATGTGCCAGACACAGTTCTACATGGTTTACTTGAATTATCTCACTTAATCCTCATAAAAACCTTGTGATGTTTTATTATTATTACATATTTTCCAGATAAGGAAACTGAGGTTCTAGAAGGTTAATAAATATCCCCAGGATCACACAGGTAGCATTTGGCATCTATTCTCTTTAGAGCTGACAGTGATCCTTTTAAGATGTTCAGTTAGATTACATCATCTCTCCTCAGAATTCTCCAGTGAATTCTCATTTCACTTAATGTAAACTTCAAAGTCCTTATCATGGCCATTAAGGCCCTGCATGAGCCCCACCCTAACCCACCTACTTGTATACGACCTCATCTCCTGGCACCTGTCCCCTCGATCCCAGGGCTCCAGCACACGCCAGCTTGTTGTTCCTCCAAAGCACCAAACAAGCTCCTCCTCAGGGCCTTTCCACGTGCTTCCCCCTCTGTCTAGGCTTAGTTTCTTTTATTGCCTTTGGAGCTCTGCTCAAGTCAGCCTTCCCAGACAACTCTAGAGAAAGTAGCAAAAATGCTGGCGCAGTGGCTCATGCCTGTAATCCCAGCACTTTAGGAGGCAGAGGAAGGTGGATCACCTGAGGTCAGAAGTTCGAGACCAGCCTGACTAACATGTGAAACCCCATCTCTGCTAAAAATACAAAATTAGCCAGGGGTGGTGGCACATGCCTGTAGTCCCAGCTACTTATGAGGCTGAGGCAGGAGAATCACTTGAATCCAAGAGGCAGAGGTTGCAGTGAGCCAAGATCCTGACACTGTACTCCAGCCTGGGCAACGAGAGTGAAATTCCAACTCAAAAAAAAAAAAAGAAAGAAAGAAAGTAGCAGACACAAACTCTCTTTCTCACTTTTTCTCTCTCTCTCACACATGCAAATACATACATACCTGACCCTATATGAATATATATTTGTATGTCTATTATGTCTGTCTTCTAGTACCCACTGAAAAATAAACTCAGTGTAAGTGGGACTTAATCGCTTCTGTTCACTGCCTTATGGCTGTGCCTGGAACGCAGAAGCTTAATAAGTGTTTAACAACTGAATAAATCAATGAAGATCCCAGGTCTAGAACTCAAGCAGGTCAACTGAAGACACTGAGCTCTTAACCCAGCACTGCATACACCATCACTTTTACTAATAGAGGAGTTCTGTGTTGGGAGGGAAGCTTATCTTAGGTGACTTCTAAGATATTCCAGTGTCAATAACACAAGCAGAACTTCCCAGAAGGCTTTAGGAAGATGGCTAGAAATCCTTGCTTCATTTCTGTCTAGCACTTACCTTAATGAGAATGTTTAAAGAGGTTTTGTAAGGCTTGAAATCTGAGAAGAGCGTAACAATGCGAAACTTCACTTCTTGCTTTGGCTTGTATAAGGTCTTGTCTGTTTGAATGAAGACAGATATTCTCTTGGTCTCAAACGATAAGCGAGTACTATTAGAGAATAAAATCTCATCCTGGGCACGTCCGGTTACACGTAGCTCATAAATCCCATTGGCACTGTTCAGAGGTAGCTGGGGAAAAAAGAGATCACACATTAAGGTCTCATTATTTTACCTCAAAAACGTTTTAATTACAAGTTAGAATGAAAAAGGTAAATACATGGTATTATCAAAAGTAACTGTGATGTTGAAAATTTGCCCCTCCCAGGCACCAGAGTTAAACAATTTGTTTCCCCTCTTTTAACATCCTGTAGTTTGCTCTCCAGTTACATCACAGGGCTCCTGGAATGGGGGACACACAGCCGGATGCTCTCCCTCAGCAGGAGACCTCATGCCATTTCCTATTCCAAGTGCCAATTTGTCCTCCCTAACAGTTATTGCAGGTCAGAATACCTAACATTCTTCAACCCTCTTTTCCACACTCACCCTATTTGAGGCAGTCAACCGATAAAAAGCTCTTTTGCACAAGATTTGTTTTCTTGCCTTTTCTCTCAAGCTGTTTTCTGAGATGCATTCTCCTAATGTATCTTGCCCATATGTGTCATAGTCTTGGTAGGCATGATAATGCTGCTACTTCTGCTACTACTATTAATAACAGAAATCCTTCTTGGGTGTGGTGGCTCACACCTGTAATCCCAGCACTTTGGGAGGCCGAGGCAGGTGGATCACCTAAGGTCAGGAGTTCGAGACCAGTTTGGTCAACATGGTGAAACCCTGTCTCTACTAAAAATACAAAAATTAGGTTGGGCATGGTGGCTCACGCCTGTAATCCCAGCACTTTGGGAGGCTGAAGTGAGTGGATCACAAGGTCAAGAGATCAAGACCATCCTGGCCACATAGTAAAACCCTGTCTCTACTTAAAATACAAAAATTAGTTGGGCATGGTGGCAGACGCCTGTAGTCCCAGCTACTCGGGAGGCTGAGGCAGGAGAATCGCTTGAACCCAGGAGGCGGAGGTTGCAGTGAGCCAAGATTGTGCCACTGCATTACAGCCTGGCTGACAGAGTGAGACTCCATCTCAGAAAAAAAAAAATTAGCCAGGCATATCAGGAAAAAAAAAAATTATCCAGGTGGTACAAGTCTGTAGTCTCAGCTACTCTGGGAGGCTGAGGCAGGAGAATCACTTGAATACAGGAGGCAGAGGTTGCAGTAAGCCAAGATCATGCCACTGCACTCCAGCCTGGGCAACAGAGTGAGACGTCATCTCAAAATAATAACAGCAATAGAAATCATACCTTCTAGCATTACTAGATACTCTCATCAAAACCATTTCTCACACACACACACACACACACACACACACAAAGCGGGGGCTTAGAGTAGTTAAGAAAGTTGCTCCAACTCACTAGCCGAGACTCAAGATCACCTTGAACTATCCTACTCTAATAAGAACCTTGATGTGGTAATTTTAAAATATGTCCAGAAATACTCTGACCTTCCTCCCTTCAAAAGGTGAATCAATCACTGCGGAATCTTTAATTCCTCCGACTTAGTGATTTTCTTCTAAATCTTAAAATGAGGTTATGTCTTTAAAAAGAATACCTTCTGCCCTGTTGTCTCTCTTTCTCGCTAGGATCACTCACTCTGTGGGAAGCCAGAGTGATGACAAGGACACTAGAGAAGCCTGTGGAGAGGACCCACTGGGAGGAACCAGGGCCTCCCACAAACCACCACCACCAACATGTAAGCCGAGTGAATGAGCTGCCTCGCAGAATGCCACGGCCCCGGTGAAGGCTGCAGATGTCTGCAGCCCTAGCTGATACCATGATGGCAACCTCGTGAAACTCCAAATCAGAAATGCCCAACCATATTGCTCCCAAATTCTTCACCTACAAAAACTGAGAGAAGTAATAAAAGTAAAGGTTTATTGTTGTTTGAAGCAGTTTTAGGGTTACTTAGCAATAGCTAACTAGCATGCTTGACTTTTAGCTGATTTTCATGTTAAAACTGAGGTCCTGAAACTATACCCTGACTCATTTTTGCAAATAAGTTTTGTCTACAGGTATCTCAAAGGGGATTTTCCAGTAATAACAGACATCAGAATATTATCAATATGGTTAAGAATATGAAGAAAATGATAGAGCAAGTATAGTAAAACATTAATGGTAGACTCTAAGTGGCAGGTATAGGAGTGTTCATCATAAAATGTTTTCAAGGTTTTCGTATATTTGGAAAGTTAATAATAAAGTGTTAGGAAAAACAATTGGTATGTCACCTTCGAATGACTTCTGGTGTCAATTTTTGCTTTTCTTCAATAAGGAAGTGTTTTGTTTGTTTTATTTTGTTTCAAGCCAAAGTCTTGCTCTGTTGCCCAGGCTGGAGTGCAGTGGCTTGATCTCAGCTCACTGCAGCCTCCACCTCCTGGGTTCCAGCAATTCTCCTGCTTCAGTGTCCCAAGTAGCTGGGACTACAGGTGTATGTTACCACACCCGACCAATTTTGTATTTTTAGTAAAGACAGGGTTTCACTGTGTTGGCCAGGCTGGTCTTGAACTCCTGACCTCAAGTGATCCACCTGCCTCAGCCTTCCAAAGTGATGGGATTATAGGTGTCAGCCATCACGCCTGTCCTAAAGAAGAATCTACTGAGCATCCTTTGTGTACCAGGTTATCCTAGGTACTTGGGATACAACATGAACCAAAGATCTGTGCCCTACTATAGCAGAGTGTCTAGCCTGGAACTTGCAATCTTAAATTCTACTTTCTCAAGTGATACTTCAGCCCTCAGACTCTTTGAATCAGATTTCCTAATACTATAAAGAATAAAATACATATGCCAGAAACCAGAATATTATATGCTTATAAGGGGCATCAATTTCTAAATATTTCATGTTTAAAAATATATCTAATGGGATTGCTTTTTATAATTTGGATAAAAGTTTGATCATTTTAGTGGCACAGAGATTGAAGTCTGATGTCAAATTAACAAAACAGAGGCCTAGAGCTAAAGAAATCTATTAACAATAACAGAGAGAGTCTGCCACTACAGAGGTGGGCCACCATCGCCACTGCAGTTCTAACCATACCCATATAAACAGGACTACAGGGAATTACACACGGCAGCAGGGCGAAGCCCATGACAGTAGGGCAGAGCCCACGGCAGTAGGGCGGAACCCACGGCAGCTCATCATAGCCACTACAGGCAGGCAGTGACTAGACTGCCTCCTCGCTGGGCAGGAAAGTGAAACGGATACTCATAAATAAAGCCCTAACTCCCCGGGACAGAGCACCTGAGGAAAAAAAAAGGGCTTAATGAGTTCTGCTGCAGCAGACTTAAACGTACCTGCCTAGCAGCCCTGAATGAACAACGGAGCTCACAGCTCAGCACTAGAGCTCCTATAAAGTACAGACTGCCTCCTCAAGCAGCTCCCTGACCCCCGTATATCCAAAGAGTCACCTCACAAAGGACTGATCAGACTGACATTTGGCGGGCATCATTCAGAGACAAATATAGCAGAAGAATCTGGTAGCAACCCTCACGGTTCCACAGCTGCTACAGGAGTTCCCCAGGCAAGCAGGGTCTGGAGTGGACCTCAGCAGTCCTACAGCAGTGGGGCCAGACTGTTAGAAGGAAAACTAAGAAACAGAAATACTTTATCATCAACAATCTGGATGCACTCAGAGACCCAATCGGAAAATCAGCAACCACTCTGACAACAGGTGGATAAATCCACAAAGATGGGAAGAAACCAGCGCAAAAAGGAGGAAAACACCCGAAACCAGAACACCTCACCTCCTTCAAAGGACCAAAACTCCTCACCAGCAAGGGAAAAAAGCTGGACAGAAAATGAGTGTGATGAAATAACGGAATCAGACTTCAGAAGGTGGGTAATGAGAAACTTCCGTGAGCTAAAAAAAATGTTCTAAATCAATGCAAAGACACTAAGAATCTTGAAAAAAGATTAGAAAAAAATATTTGATGAAATGATAACAAGAATGGATAACTTAGAGAGGAATATGAGCGAATTGAAGGAGCTGAAAAACACAACACGAGAACGTCGCGAAGCATGCACAAGTTTCAACAGCCGAATTGACCAAGCAGAAGAAAGGATATCAGAAGTCAAAGATCAACTCAATGAAATAAAACAAGAAGCAAAGATTAGAGGAAAAAAGCACAAAAAGGAATGAACAAAGTCTCCAAGAAATGTGGGAATATGTGAAGAGACCTAATCTACATTTGATAGGTGTACCTGAATGTGATGAAGAGAATGAATACAAGCTGGAAAATACTCTTCAGGATATTATCCAGGAAAATTTCCCCAACCTAGCAAGGCAGGCCAATATTCAAGTCCAGGAAATACAGAGAACACCACAAAGATATTCCACAAGAAGAGCAACCCCAAGGCACATAATCGTCAGATACACCAGGGTTGAAATGAAGGAGAAAATGCTAAGGGCAGCCAGAGAGAAAGGTCAGGTCACCCACAAAGGGAAGCCCATCAGACTCACAGCAGATCTCTCGGCAGAAACCCTACAAGCCAGAAGAGAGTGGGGGCTGATATTCGACACCCTTAAAGAAAAGAACTTTCAACCCAGAATTTCATATCCAGCCAAACTGAGCTTTATAAGTGAAGGAAAAATAAAATCCTTTGCAAACAAGCAAGTGCTCAGAGATTTTGTCACCACAGGCCTGCTTTACAAGAGCTCCTGAAAGAGGCACTACACATAAAAAGGAACAACCAGTACCAGCCATTCCAAAATCACACTAAATGCTAAAGAGCATCAACAAAATGAAGAATCTGCATCAACTAACGGGCAAAACAGCCAGCTAGCATCAAAATGGCAGTATCAAATTCACACATAACAATATTAAACCTAAATGTAAATGGGCTAAATGCACCAATCAAAAGACACAGACTGGCAAATTGGATAAAAAGCCAAAATCCATCAGTGTGCTGTATCCAAGAAACCCATCTCACATGCAAGGATACACAAAGGCTCAAAATAAAGGGATGGAGGAAGATTTACCAAGCAAATGGAGAGCAAAAAAAGCAGGAGTTGCAATTCTCGTCTCTGATAAAACAGACTTTAAAGCAACAAAGATCAAAAGAGACAGAGAAGGCCATTACATAAT